GGGCTCCTATTGCTGGGCCGCGCGGCCAACCAATGATCATGCTTGGGCATAAGCGGAACATACGAGAGGAACTTCCATGCATGTGCGCAATCGTACAGCCATGCATTTGTCTGCATGCAGGAGGCTAGCAACACCGCGAGTAAATCCTCAAGGGCCGGATGTACTGGTTGCAACACATTCATGACAGACAGAGTTGCTCATCTTTCAGTTGCATTGATGGTTCGAGCTAGCGTACAGCGGAGGGTAAGCCTTTGCACTTGCCCCATTCTTGCAATATCACGAACCGGAAACGACGCACCTAACTTGGAACCTTGGAGACTTGGGGGAGAACAACTCCTAAACACGACAGGGTAAGCCAGGTAAACAACACAGGATGGCATCTTCTCTGCAATCATGGAAGCGAAACTCCAAAGCTAGGCATGGAAGCACATGAGCCATATAGTCCAAAGACCTAGCATCCCCCTTAACAACCCCCATAATGCTGCCCTATATAACCCCCCTTTAAGGACTACAGCTCACATAACCCCCTAACCCTAAACCCTAAACCCCAAACCCTAAACCCCTAAAGCAAAATCTTGGAGAACGAGACTCAAACACATCCGATGGCCTCGGCTTCGGCCGCTGCAACCTGACGGAATGTGGGAACTTCTCAGAAGAGGGATTATGTAGCAATTGTGGAGGTGATGCGGCTTATAGGGAGTACAGGGATTATAGGGATTATAGGGATTGTAAGGGGTTGTAGGGCATTATAAGGGAATATGGGGGTCCGAAACATGTGCCTTTATAAGCTCCATGGAGCATATAGGGATTATAGGGGACTGTGCGGGGTCCGTTCTACCGATTCTGTAGAAGCAGTTTGATTCTCCATGTTGCAAGCTTTGGTGGGCTGAGGGTTTCGCCTTTGCAGCTCTAGCTTTTGTGGCGATTTCAGGCTTCTAGATCGTAGAGTTAATGGGGCTGTAGGGCATCGGCAGGCTTCAAAAGCATGGTCGAAGGGTTAGTGGGTTTGCAGGGTTTGGGGTCTAAGGTTGATCGCATGAGCCCTGACATGCTCCCTTGCCATGGATCTGGACTAAATAATTGAATGCGCAAGAAGGAACAAATCAGTGCATCTCCAGAATGGAGATTCCTGGTTTCAGGGTTTGAGGGGTCAGACTTGGAGTTTGTGATTGGAGCATCTCAGCCCGTACAGGCTGAATTCATCAACATGTCGTTCGCGAATACTAGTTCTCATCATTGCGCGCCCTATATAACCTCTTGCTGTTGCTACGAATTACTTTCCCAATCTGGCTTCGAACCCCTTGACTGTGGCCAACCTTTCAATAGTCTGCCTGCGAGAATTGAGTGGAACACCTTTCCCTAGAATGGCAAAAAGGCAGGTACACTGTCGAAATCCCCCATATTTGGACTGCTTTGTGCAATGTCCTTCTCAACAGCAGTTTGTCTCAGTATGCAGTGGCCGAATCGCTCTTGATATGACATGCTCCTCGAATGAAGGATTACAAGGAAGAAATGTCGGCAGGAGTAACTCTTGAGAGGGGTCAGGGTCAAGGGCGCTGGTCTGAGGACCTCATGTTATCACAACTTTGACGATCACTGCGCCGCTTCATGCAAAAGGTGTTCTTCCATCTTGATCATTTCTCAAGAACCCGAATTACCCATCTTGCATCCGAGCCAATGTGCAAATCCAAAACTCTTGCACTGGAAGGCCTTGGCAGCAGATTCTTTTCGAATTGAAGCTGCCTTGGTCAAGGCTTGCAAGAAAAAGGCGCTCACGTCCAATGGGATGGGATAACTTAAGCCAGACATTAGAAGAACGAAAGCTGAACATAAACCTGATGTCATGACAATACACAACGATGGTACTGGCAGCAAGGGGAAGACCACAGCAATCGCAAGGACCACAACGGACGCAGCATCCGGGAAAGCTTTGAGATCATCAGGATGCACTTCCAGCAATTTCTTGGAAGATCAGCTCCCGAATTTGCCTGTCTAGGCTCTACACCGCTCAACTGAAGAAAAGCGACATGTCACCATGACATACGTAGGCTTGTGGTCATCACAATTGGCACAATTATCGCAAAAATTGTCCTCTTCTTCTGGCCGGACGCTGCGGCCCGGTGGCCCAACACAACATACACTGACGAACCCCCAAGCACTCCCCAAGTGACGGACTGTAACTGCCAGTGTCGCGACGGCTGCCTTGATTGGGGCCAGACGCAGGGTTGTATCTGCACGGATGACTGCCCACTATTTGTAGTTCCCCCTAGTACTTTGAATTGTCCCCAAAAGGGATGGCTCGACCGGAACCGGCAAGCTTCCTAACGTACTCATACTGCTCTTCAACACCCTCCTAATAATGCAAGTGTGTTCAGCAAGCCACGTTTTTATGAGGGAGGGATGGGACTTTTTTCGGGGAAGAACTGAATGCTTGGATGCTGTCGTAATTCCGGCGTCGTAATTCCGGCGGTTACTGATACTGCGGACGTTGTCATCAGGCCTATGCCACCATGTCAGTCCGATGTGTAATAAAGGCGTCTAGGCACGCTGCCAATGCGTCCTTTCAACACATGCTTTCATTCAAGCCTGGGCCCGGCTGAGTAATTGAAGCGGTCCAGGGCCCTGCACAATACAACTCTTGACAGCCAACCCCGCTGAACTTCTAACCTGCCAAACCCTCAAGTCCAAAACCCTCAACTTCAATCCTGCTCTGCCACAACGGTAGGGCTTGCTATTCAAGCAGTGTCAGACGGTGGCCACCTGCGCAATGGACACTTACCTGTCTGAGTTGTCCACACTGAAGCCTCAATCTCGCCTTCACAGCCAAGGAGACATACACAAATTACAATAATTCCTGTTAAAGCCTTTACATTTTTTGGCCCGACCCACACTCTTCAAAGCCCTAACGCCCCAAAGCTCGAATCCATAATAGCTTTAATGTCAGGACTTTGTGAGCCAATGGCCGCTTCTGCGGCCGCCAGTGCGGAAGGTGTGAGCCTTCCGGTGCAAGAGCCAGCTATCGGGCATAGCTTGCATCATGCGGCCAAGTTGGGTCTTGTAGCACCAGAAGAAAGGTTCCTAGGGATTGGGGGTGTCACGTGTTACCAGATTTCATTGTTGGCTCTGGGTTCAAGGATGCCCTTCATTGACTTGTATATCATGTTTACAAACGCCGAGCTGAGCAGTCCAGTGTATCGCCTGTATTGCAATTCCAAACATCCATCCAGTGTCCAACAATTTCCGTGTCAAGGGAAGAGTGTGTTGGTAGCGGGACCACGACGTGCAAGCATCATGAGAATCAGAGAAAGAAGACCAAAGCATGTTCGCTTTTCTGGCTAATGCATGCCGCCCTGCTCGTAATGCAGCAGCCATATTGAAGGCACTGGACCGGTCATGAAGGATGATCCGTGACATGGTCATTGTACTGAGTCCTGCCTTTCACCGGTGGAGGTCACCATATTCAGCCATGCCCACAACCACGCTTCGAGCCAACATCGTCAAGACGCCAACTTGCATTCCTAGACTTTGGCTTGCGAATACAATGATGACGGCATTGCAAATTGCGCGGTGTGATCGACGTCTTCGCTGCCAAAACAACGCTATGCGTATCTTTGACCAGACATGATGCAAGGCGGGTTGGGGATTGAGCAAGTCACCGAGGCCATGTTGAGCTCATCTCAGACAATGCTTCGGATCGCTCATTCTTCACACCCAACAGAGCTCTATTCATCAACCCGTTCTGCAACACCAGCCAAATCAATGCGCCCAGCAACTCTATCCTGTGGATAATTGTCCTCTGACTCTCAATACACACCATATCAAATAGCTTGTACAATCCTGTTTCGCATGGAATTTTGTGCGCTGGTGGCTGTACAACATCTACTGGGAACTACAAGAAAAGCCACTGCTTGTCCTAACGAACAAACAAGGACTGATACAAATGCTACTGCCATCAATTGTAGCCATCTACTGCTGTTCCGACACTTCCCGTTGATATTCGCACATTTAAATTTGAAAGATACAGACGACTGACTGCACGCCGAAAGCTGCAAATCATCTAGGTGCATAACCCAGACCTTCACATTCAATTTGTGATGCTTGAGCTTTTGTTTTTGCCACAATGCTCCGCTTGGTCGCTGCGACTTGCCTTCTTCTCCACAACTTCTCACTGCCTCCGGCGCTTGGTTTCTGGCTCTCATTGGATCATCACCGCTTCGTCTGAAGATGCTGAACTGTTCTGATACGCATGACTGATGGAATTGCTGTGATTCCCTAGCATCACGCCAAACCTTCCCAAACTTGTTCCTGGCGAGTGCCCCCGAAATCTCGTTACCACAAGTGCTGCATGGACGCACAAAAAATTAAAAGGGCCTCCATCAGCCAAACGTCAAAACCTGAAAACTTACCCCTCCGCACTCTCATTGCGAGGCTCATGAACAAATCAAATTTGCTCGACAAGTCACATCGCCTCCCCATCAAACATGGAAATTGCGAGGCCCTAGAATCCGTTGAGGGGGTCATCATGGGGTTCGATGTTGGCCTTTGAAGGAGCAATCAAACTCAAACCCTGGACTGCAAAACTCAAAGGCTGAAACACGAAAAACCAGAGAATCTCCCCGTCACGGCTGTGTACCACGCAATCCCGCAAACTTCCTGCAATGGAGCCAACCAGGCCCCTGTCACCTCGAGCGATCCTCTCCGGAGGCATGCGGCGTCGGGCCTCAGGAATTCGGCCCATGTTGGTAATTTGGCCACTACTGCGGGAAGAAATGATTCATGGGTAGTGAGAGGTAATTACTGTTTAGAAGTACGACACCTGCAGTCGTAGCTCTTCAGGGTTGGGAGGTGTAGGGCTCATGAAACTTTAACTCTTGACAAACATGGCTCCGCATATCAGTACTGCTTGGCTACGACGCGTTGCCAACAGCGTTTCATGCTTCAATCTGATCCGGAAGACACAATGAGGAATCAGGATAGACGCTATAAGCACCGAGCTTTCGTCAGTTCGCACTTTCATCTGGCCTCAGATTTCAGCGCTTTTTGGGATCTGAGCTGTCAGGGGGGTCGGGGGGAGTTGCGATGCTAAAGTTGCACTTCAGGACCTGTGGCCTTTGGGCCTGGATCCAGGCATTCGGGTTTGACCCCACCTCTCTACCACACGCACACACACACACACCCACGATCCTTCTTGAAAAACAGAAACCTCCAAAGAGTTCGGGGTCCAGCTGTTGATTCTGGCTGATCCCCACTCCCGTCGTAGGATTTCATGGGCCGCCCGATGCCCGTAGCCCTACATGAAGCCCGGAATTGACAAGATTCATATGCTGAGATGTCACACTGGTGTCGCAAGCTTAGCTTCATTGCCAAAGTAGGCCTATGCACCAAAGCCCGACAAGGCCGACGAAGCCGTCAGCCTGGCCTTCGAACATCTCAAACCTACAAATACAGCCAGCATGAAGCTGTGCCGCGTCTGTATGGCGACTTGCGAAGTCCTCGGCCACGCTGCCTTCAGGCGGGTTCACTTGCAGGGTCCAAACTCCAGCTCAGGGGTCTCGTAGCCCCTACGAGGCCGGCTGTGCTGTAGCTCAACAAGAGGCTTCCTTCATGTCAGCATGGATTGCAAGATGTTCTTAACATGATGCCTTGAGTGGAGGTGATGGAGGTGTTAGCAGCTTCCATGAAAAGGCCCTGGCCTGAAACCCGGAACGTGAGGTACCGAACATGTACTCAACGCTTCTGGCTTTGAGCAGTTGGAAGTGTTCATAAACTTCCCTTCTCCGGAAACGGCCGATTAAACCGCGTATGCAAAGAGTTAGGCAAGGGAAGCATGCTTAGGGCCGGCATGAAACCAAGATCCTGGTATTGAAGCAGTCGGCGCCCCGAAGCTCTTAGGAGCTTTTCTTGTGGATCGGCCTGCTCTATCGCAGCTCCGCCAGCTTGCATTCTTAGCCGTCTCGCATCATCGGGGGTGAATATTGGGGCTCCCTCACGTGATCGATGTACAACTACCTGCGAGCCGCCTCTGCCCTGCGCATCCTAATGAAGGCAGCATATCCCACTAGAGGACTCCATGCCAAAGCGAAAGAAGTAGCACCCCAAATGAATGCCCACATAAGCGTACCTATGACCTATGAACAGATGTACACGCATGTACATGCACGAGTTGTTCACACGAGTGGATGACAGGCTCAACGGAGGTTTGCACATGTGTGGATGCATTGGCATATACCTTGCAAGGGGAAGGGCGAGTCTGAGTTTGAATGGCTTAGACACCGAACGAAGAGGCTTGTCTGCCATCGCGCTCGGACTTATCCTCAATCTACAGAACAATACTTCCAGGATCTTGCATGCCACACCCAGATCTGAATCTGCTTTAGACGAGCAACCGCGAGGGTTGAGGCTGCGGCTTGGCAATGGCGCTAGCTAAGATGTTTAGCTTGGCAGAAGCTCACAGTTTTCCAGCATGGGCCTTGCTACCCCCTGCTGTAGCGCCAACTTATGTCTAAGGGCACGTGACCTTCATCCTTTGAAAGATATGTTGAAGGAAAGCAGAACTTTCCTGTCCTGTTTTTGTCCTGATGACCTCGTTTAAGACAAGTGTCATTTCACTTTGCATTGACTTCTGGGAGGGCTAGGCCACTAGGCTCCGGACTGAAGCTGTGGGACCTGGGGCACACACACCTGGCTGCATCGGTGCGCTATCAGGATCCCGCTTTAACAAGCACGGTAGAGAAATATAGAGTAGAGATCATCACTAGGACCGGGCAACTTCAAGATAATACTAATACGTGCTTAAGTAAGTAGCAGCATAGCGTTGCAGTGTCGCAGACCTGGTCCTCCGTTGCTGCCATTTCTGACGCTGCCGCTGTTTGTGTAACCTTCGCAAGGCCGGCTACCACAAACTAACAAAGCAGCTGAGCCCTGCACATAAATTCTCATCCACACAACCAACGCTGATGTCTTGTGAACATCTTGTGGGTGTGGAGCTGATACCAGGATCCCGGGCCGCTTCAAACTTCAATCTCTCAAGACGCCTCGGATGAGAGCTGCACGCGAGCGATGTCAGCTCCAGTAGGCAATCCTGTGCTGTCGAACACTGTTGCAACGGTGCACAGGCATCAGCAATAACAAGCCACCGGTTTCGGCAGTGTCGACAACTGCTCAGGCAGATTCTCGACACCACAGCGAATGAGTCAGTGTCCAGACATGTCAGCAAACGTCCATGTGGAACTGTCCTCTTGACTTGCAATTGAACGTTCAGCAAAGAGAGCTAATAGTGAGCAACAGGGCTCTCATTGTCCTTCCCTGTTGTCGTGAGCCTACTTGCATCACCTGCTCTGCCACAATAGCAATACGGAGCTGGTGTGCCATGCCCCCTTGCAGAGATGCAGCTGGATCCCGTGAGTGAAAGGTTGGCAGTGTTTCCAGCGTCTGGCAGTCAACTTCACATGCTTTGCAACAATCTCTAATGGCTGGGCATTAAAATAAATCAACATTCCATGCGCCGTGCATGAGTTCCTTTGCGCTGAGTCCTCCACGCTCCAGCTCCTCCATGTCATACGGAGTCCTTGCGCTGCTGCAGAAGCATCATCATTTTTTGAACACGCAGCTTTTGAAGGATGTGTCCAATGGGAACATCACAGACTAAGGGCTCACCTGTGCTGATTAGATGGCAATTAGCTTGCGCTTCTGCTGCAGTGGAATTTGGTGGCCGTCATGATCACGGTCGCAAGGTTTGCGTGTCTCGCACTCTGGCACCTTCCAGTATACTTTTTGGTCCTGCGGTCGGCTTCGCTGTCACTGCTGGAGCCTTCCTGCAGTTAGCAGGCGCAGGTGGTCGGAATCTTTGACAAGATTTCGTAGGGTTGTCTTCATACGAACTGTAAGCAAAAACATCCCTGCTGCTTGCGCTGCTTTGTCAACAGTAGAGAAATGTAGAGTAGAGATCATCACTAGGACCGGGCAACTTCAAGATAATACTATACGTGCTTACGTAAGTAGCGAAGGATGATATCGGGTTGGCAAGGACGTTGCTGAATTTGAGAGGGTTTAAAGCTAGCTCAGCCCCTAGCTCAGAAACCCCACGTCCAAACCACCAAGAGTCGCCGGCCTACCATAAAAAGAGAAGCTCTGAGCACCAAAATCCAACCCAGAGACGCGATACCACGACGATACCAAGCTTTGAATGAGTCCCCAAAAGAGGCAATCAAAGCCACCAGACCCTGCCCAAGCTTCAACGCAAAGCCCTTCCCCCAAAACCCTGCGGCCAAGCCTTCTCTTTGATGAAACGGATGACCTTGTCGAGCTGTCCAGGCTGAACCCGGCATGCCTTCACGGCTACCTAAAACAAAGGTCATTTTGCTTCGAGGGTTGGCTGTGTGGAGTGCGGTTGAACGATCCCACTGTTTCCAATAAGGGCCATGAGGACGGCTCCTTTGTGAAGAGAAATTGCATGCCAAACGAGGCTGCTGCTGATGCTGGCGCCGGTGCTGATGTTGCACTTGTCTTCCCCAGTACAGTAAGGCGGTACAGCAGTAGAAACGCAGCAATGAGAAATTCTATCGGGCACGGAGAGCAACACCTGACCTTCAGTAGGGACTCCAGGTTGGACGCACTGCTCGCCTGATGCCCCGGTGTTTGACCCAAGACAGCAGAGGCCAGACCGTTGGTGATGAACTGCATGCCCAGGCGCCTTGACATAGAAATTGACAAGCGGAAGCGTTGCCGTCCCAGCTGCATTCATTTCCACGAAAGTGTGCTGAAAGTGAAGTCTCATGGTTCTCAATTATTCCCACATATGGTTCATTGATGTCACATTCAGATTGCAAGTTGCTTCATCTCAGCCAACGCCTGCAACTGCAATCCGCTCAGTATTCAGAGATCCCCCTTTACATTCTGGGCCGGCCTTGGCAACCCCGATTTTAGAACCTAGAGCGGTGGTCCCAGGTCAAATGCTTCGTGACATGGAGGGTCGCGATGTCTGCAAGCAAAAGGACTGATTCAAACAGCCGGTATGAGCCTAAGAAGTAAAGCAGGCCTTAATCTGAGGTGCAATCAGGTGGCCTCGGACACTGAACTGCGTTTTTGCCTTCTGCGCAGCAGTAGTGAGGCAACGTCTTAAACGAAGTAGCTGGGTATATGCCCCCCACCCACACCAGTTTACATTTGTGGCGCCCCTTCTAGGCCAGCCTAGGTATACCTAATCCTCATTAGCGCACCCAAGATCCAAAGCCGCAATCCACTGAGTGATAAAACCCTTCGACCTAAAACCCCAAGCCCGCGGCATGTACCCAGCATGGCCAAGTGAAATAGGCATCCGCTACTGGGTGGCTGGCAGCTTGAGCAAGGGTCGGCTATGTTGGCCTAAATAGCCTGAATTGATTGCAGGGCATTGTGCAAATCATATATGATACAGGTTCTACAAGAACATAAGAATGCCTTTTGGGACCTATAGTAGTAGCAATCGGGCACGCGCATACAGCACAAGGAAGAGTGTGAACCCTGCACAGTTTTCAAAAGAGGCCCAGGAATCTTAGGCACCTGCTGTAGCGCTAAGTGTGTGCCGATGAGTGTTGAATATGGAAATGGTTGCCTAGATAAGGGGACAATATAGACCCCAGATGTTATAATCCTGATTATGGGGACCCCCACTAAGTACTCATTTTAGGAAACCTTGGCCTCTGCAAACCCTATATAACCCAAGTTTCCATTTCATTCTCCATTTTCTTCTCCACTTGATTCTTCATTATACGGGTAAAGGGTACCCCTAAGCTTCGGAAACCCTAAACCCTATATACCCTTATATACCCGTATATAACCCCTATATAACCCGTATATTCCCTTTCAAGGAAACTGCCATACGCATCAAGCCCTGGGGCTATGACTCGCGTGTTCCAGTCCACCCCACATCGAGAAAGGATGCTGTAAAAATCCTCCGTGCCGGAAGAACCCCTTACACTCGCCCAGGTGGTAGCAACATCATTCCTAGTACTGGACTAGTGATTTCACTTGTAACTCGATGTAAACCCTAAACTCTAGACCCTAAACCCTATAACCCTAAACCCTTGCCATTTGGCTTCTTACTTGTAACCCTCGAAAGGGCTGGAGGCCAGGACCAGTCAGCCAGCTTCCAAAAAGCTTGGCATGGTGCCAGCACGGATGTCTCGTGAATAGCCATAGGAAGAATAAGAATAAGAACTAAAGGCAATAAACATGATCAAAGAATCCAAGTAAAAATAACAATGAAAGCGATAATAGCAAGAATAGTAGTCATTAACAATGATAGCACCAATTGTAATACTAATACAATTCCCACTCCCCGGCTTTGGTACAGACTTCCCCCGACCTCCACAAATCATCAACAATAATGAGGACTATCAAAGATCTTTTCTACTAAGTCTTATAGACTCATAACCTGAAATATCCCCCAAAAACAAGTCCAGTCTTGGGGCTCAAGAGGGATCATCACTACGGTACCTGCAGAGAAACAAACAAAGTCTATGCTTTGCAGAGCGAAAGCCTTGTCATTTGTTACTCCAAAACCCCAGGACGGGTGTATGACCTTCATAGCCGAAATTACTGTTCATATACGCCCATGTGACGGCCAGGGGCTTGTAAGAAAGAGACCACAGCCCTGTCCAAGATCTGTGATTCAGTGTCCCTTCTCCTCCTGTCTAGCAAAACAAGTAATTTAGGGATTATAGGGATTGTAGAGGGTTATATAAGGATTATATACGGTTATATAGGGATTATATAGGGTCATATAAGGGACAATTATAGGGTTTATTGTGGGGGATACTCGGAGTTTAGACTATATTGGTTCCCTCTACACGCCCTGGAACGCTTGGGCTCTCGAATTGAAGGTTCCTGAAGGAGCCTCACTGACCAAAGACCTTCTTCATTCCTTTTTGAGTCTTCGTTGCACTCCCCAAGTCTGCGTAACTTGGGTTGGCTTTGTAAGGAAACCTCAACGCGTGATAAGCTATGTTGCATCTCTGCAGGCCGGCGGGCATTGCCTGGAAGAGTGCAATATCCCAACGTTAAACATGGCCTTTCAAAACGTGAAGTGGAGATGGAAAAGTGCGGGGCTTCGATTTTGAAGAAGCCCATTCCTGCAAATATCACTCCTCAACAAGGATGAGAATATCAGTTGTGTGGGCCTGTATCTCCCTGTACCCTTCTGTGCTCGATACATCCAGGATCCGTGCTGCTCACCTCAATTCTCCGCCCTTCGTGCCGTGGCTTAGCCCTCAGGCCGAAGAAACGGAATCCGGCAGATTCTGCGCATGCCCACTTGCTTTAAGATTCGAGGTCTTAGGCTGGCTCAGGGGTTCTGGAGAGCATCGAGGTTACCTACGCGATGTGCACTAGAACCAAAGGAACAGGGAGCCGTACGACATGATTTAGCGAAATCCTGGCATAGAACCAGCAAACAGGTGACGTGATTCAGATTGAGATTCGTATATGTTGGAACAAAGTATCTACAAAATAATCGTATCCTATCGTATCCTCAGTATAGCGCCCTGCAAACAGAAAAGCCCATCTTGTTTGAGAGCTCCCATGATGTTTTTGCGACCAGCAGCTTCTTACTCCAGTGCGGGAAGGTAAATGAATTGTCATTCTCTAACTTTTGGGTGGGACTATGAGATTACAATCCTCCAATCATCTGGAAATACGTCCTTGGCCTATCAGACCTATCATTTGGAAGGCAATGTGAATGGATCATGTAAACACCCACTGCTTTCTGTTGGGGGGAGCGCACCAAGAAGCGAGATAATATTTACGTGCTTGGCCTTCGCTTGCGCAGGCCAAACAGAACAACATACCCAAAGAAACCATAGCTGAATCGTTGGCCTTCGTATCTTAGTATTACAGAGGGAAGCATAGGCCGCACACATTGATCCGAGCAACCACATGAGCTAGAACAAATATTTCACATTTAACCAATGGACATGGGTCCTTATTAGGAAAGACATTCGGGACGATACAAAACTACCAAGGGGGACTCTATGTCCACCCTTGACGTTTCCTTGGTAAGCCTACTTGATATCACCCTATAATCCGACTCGTACCTTAAGGGCTTGACGATGCTTGCAGCAGCCCTTTTGAAGGAGGAGGAGGAGGACGACGACTACTACTACGACGATTCAGTACGTACTAGGAGGAGGTGGTGGTGGTGTCATGGCTTCACACGCCGCTGGATGCAATGGGTTCTGGCCACCAACCATCACAGCAATAAGAAGTTTCAGTACTAACTACCTTACTGCGTGCGGCACTTGCGTAGAAGCCGTGTCAAGCAACTGGGCACTGATTTTGACTTACTGGTCCTTAGTAGGGAATACGGGAAGATAATGTACAAATAATCCCCATACAACATATTGCAATCTCCCCTACTAAGCCCCAGTCAGTTGAAAAGCTGTGGAGCAACAGCGACGCCAATGGCGGGTGCCTACAGGGTGCTCTCTTTCGATTTTAGGCAGACGTTGCCTAAGACGTGCACTTGGAAGACCTAAACCTTCAGTAGGATGCATTTGATGGGCTCCCAAAAAGAGACCCATGATTTTGATAAATTCTCATCTGCACCGCGCTGTGAGACCCTGCAGGAGCTAAAGATTCCACCTTTCCTTTGACACCTGTCCCGGGCGGAAGGTGGTCCTCACTTGCAGCGAAGGGGTATGCACCTCAATGAGCTGGAAGTAGGTTTTGCCCTAAACCTTAAACCCTAAACCCTACTCAACAAATACCACACCCAAAAACTGGACTCTGCCATAGACTACCATGGAATGTCCTTTGGGATGCGATCTTAACATGCTCAGAAGAACAATAGGGCGGGTTCTGAGGCACGTTTGGGGTATGTAAACAGCATGCTATCTTGCTGAATGGGACTACAGTTTCGGGAAAAGAGAGCACCATGCTGGAATATCATTGGGCTTGAGCTTCTGTGTTCCAGCCTGCTTTCCAAGCTGGTGATGGTGAGTAAGCGGATCCAAGCATAATAGCTATAGATCCTTCAAAGCATCAAAGAGCAGAAGTTGAAGCTGAAACAATCACGGCCACAACCACATGACGACCAAAGACATTTACTGTGAGCACGTGAGCACCCTGAGCAACTGCATGCATGCGGGCTTCTCAAAAGTGGGGCCCTTGAGCATTTTGGGGGGAATGGGAATCATCAGGAGCTTTTGTGGTCCCATGAGGCATCCCACTGAGATCCAACCCTCATGCTGCCCGATAGAGGAGGCTACAACTGATCCTCACAACAAGCGTCACGCACAGGCCCCAAAATCATGCAGCCCAGCTTTTTCCAAATCCTCCTTGTACCATGTACCTTGAGCGCCTTGAGACAGGGCCCCATGTCACAGGCAAGCGGGAAGGCATCGTCTTGAAGCACCAGTCACAGTTGCTGAGTAGACCTGGATTTACACATTAGGTACTAAGAAACGACCATGTTTTCAGGGGCTTGAAGATCGCAACAGGAGAATCATGCCCCGGGAGCATCTAAGTCACGATCTGAGTACCTTCGCTCATCGCTCCCACTTCCACAGCTTTGAGCGTACGTGAGAGCATGACGGACATGTAGAGCAGCGCAGCGTAAAACCGCAAACCCTAAATTAGACACAGCGCAAACCTTGAAACCTAGACCCTAAATCCTAAGCAGTAGTTTCCATTTTCTTGTCCACTATCATTCCCTAACCCTGTGAAACCCTTTATTATAGTAGTGTGATCATATACCCTACCATATCA